AAAAAATTCAGTCTCAGATTTGAACTGAAAAAATTACAATAAAGTTTGCACAGATAAATTTAAAAGAACTAAGTTGCCAAAATTACAATTGTCCCAATGAATTAATACTTGTTATTCTCTCTAAAAATGAGATGTTCTATTATAAAATGTTACTGATTTCAGATGAAAGTATTTATCTGTGAAACTGTAATGTAAGTATGTGGAGGGGAGTGTGAGGTATAAGGAGACTGGAAAAATAGGAGTTAGATTATTAAGAAGGGCTTTGAATATCAAGCAGAAGATTTTGTATTTGATCCTGGAGGTAACAGGGAATCAAATGAGTTTGCTGAGTGGGAAATTACATGGTCATAACTGTACTTTAGCGAAATCACTTTAGTGGCTGGATGGATCACAGATTGGAGTGGAGTGAGACATGAGGCAGGCAGACCCACCAGCAGGCTATTGCAGCAGTACAGATATGAAATGATGAGGGCCTGCACTAGAGTGGTGACTATCAAAAGAGGAAAGAGGGTTTTATTTGAGAGATGTTGAGTTGAAATTGACAGTACTTGGCAACAGACTGGATGGGGGCGGGGCAGTGATGGTGAGGAGTCAATGACTCCTAAGTTTCAAGTCTGAAGTACTGGGACCATGGTGTTGCCCTGGAAAGGTGGAGTGAGTGAGAAGGACAGAAGAAAGATACGAGTTTGGTTTGAATATATTTAAGACGTCTACTGGATATCCAGTTTGAGATGTCTGAAAGCAGTTGGAGGTGCAAGACTGGATGTCAGCAGAGAGGTTTGGGGCATAATAGGTAGATGTGAGAATCATAAGAATAGGGATGGAAATTAAATTTATGGAAGCTGAGATCCCCAAGTAAAATAGTACAGATGGAAAAGAGAAGAAGGTCCAGGACAGAACGCTGAGGGACAACTACTGTTAGTGGGTGTGATTTGGAGAAGGATCCAACAAAGGAAATTAAGAAAGAATGGTCAGTAGGTAGAAAAACCAGGAGAATGGGGTCCTGAAAACCTACAGAGGAGAGAGCATTAAGGAGGAGAGAGTGATTGACAGTGTCAAAGGCTGCAGAGTTCAAGGACACTGAGGATAAAGAAAAGGCCGCTGGATTTGGCAATTAAGACATCCTTGGTAACTTTGGAGGGAGCAGTTTCAGTGGAATAATAAGGTTGAAAGTCATACTGTAAGTGGTTAAGAAGAGGGTGAGAGAAGAGAAAGTGGGGGGCATCTATTGTACATGGTCT